ATTCTTTGGCTTTGGGGGACTATGCTATCTAACGACAGTCAAACATCCTTTTTTTTTTTTTTATAAAGAAAAATATAAGTCTACTATTAGATACCATAAGAGATACAGATTTCAGAAACAGACAGACGCAATATGCAGGCTTTCTGTAATGAAATCACCAACAGCTGAATTCTCACTTACCCTGGATTCCTTCACCTCTCCACTCACTGGAGCAACATAAAGGTGCCTTATTGTAAGTGAAAACCAGGCCCTAATTGTTTATACTAATCCGAGTACTGAGCGCCAAGCTACACTATCTTCTGTTGCCTGAACATTTTAATCATACAAAAGAATCGATTGTGCTAGCAGTAACATTGCCGCAATGGCTATTTTACACTACAGTACTTTCTGTACTTTTTCATATCTGGAATCCAAATCTGTTTATGCAAAAGGGTGTTTAAATTACTCTGCTAGAGCACTGCAATTATTGTACTTAGTAAAAAAAAGTCACTAAACAATTACTGTACCTATCGATTGCTCATTTACAGCTTATTTCATTATTTACATAATTTTAGGACACATTAACCTAAACCATAAGTAGAATTAGCTTTTTGCCTTACCATAAAGTACAAATTAGAAGTTAAAAATGTTTAAGAAATCTGATAATATTTACACACGTTCAGCTTAAGTTATGGTTGCTCACATTGTATGTTCTATGTACACATAGCAAAATGTTATGATCACTACTGATATAGTATTGTACCCTGGCCATCCCACCCTAGATTATTTGCTAGAAATAGTTAATATTTTTGCCTTTTTTTCTTGGTTCCCTAAGGAATCTGTTGGGTTTGAAAACTTACTAGTGGACAATGCTGTTATAAAAAGAGAGAGAAGAAATAGGCAAGCAATGTGAGGACTAGTCTAATTCAGATGCTAGGAGGTACAGTACTATCATCATGTCAAACGGTGCAATGCTCCATAGGAATTAAAAGCATTGATCTGCTGATATAGAAATGCCCAGTTACCCTGTATAGTAAGTTGGTTTTTTTAAATACATTAATCTTTTCTTTTCAAAAATATATTCATACACTGGTTCATGGTAGAAACAAAACTATTATTAGCTTATTCCTTTAACACGCCAACATATGAATGTGTGTGCATATATATACTCAGCACGTGTATATATACACACATATGTCCATATAGACATTTAGGTATACGTCCGTATGCACATATAGTTGGATAATGTTTAACATCCGTTCACTTATGTTTAGTACTGTGTTATAGTATAGGATTGGAACACAGTCTAATAATTGTAGTGAAAATTAATTGAGCTTTAATTTTAATGCATATTTGTTTGAAATAAATAGGATTTGTTCCCCAGGTGTAAGACCACCACTCATTTTCTCTATGCGTTGTGCTTTTGTACCTTACAGATTTTATGTCCTTTGTATTAGAATGTAAAAACTCTCCGAAGAACTCTGCGACATGCTGTTATCTAAGACTCTGTTTTCCTCCCCTGGGAATGAGAAAAGAAATGGTCACAATGTCATTGCTTGAGTCTTTCTTCCCAGTCATTAAACTGCGATAGGATAGAAACATAACATTCCTTATGCAAACACAGAAATGTTGCATGAATTTTCAGTTCTGAAAACGTGTATCATACTTACTAGCAGTCATGTACAGTATATATTTACAGATTGATCTCAAAGATTTCATCAAAACTGTGCCATGTTATAGTCATAATTTGCCCATGAATTTCACAAAGATGAAAAACACCTTAATTGCTGGCTATCATGTCTAATAGAACAATAAAATGTGCAGCTATAATTATATTACAAGGTTTATCTAAATTATTAACTTTAATATTTTGCTTATTGACACTAACAACAATTAACACGATTAAAAGGATCTAGAATATTCATTTTCGGTCAATTCTAAACTAAAAGAAAATTTATTCTAGTTTACCTGGAGGGTAGCACACACAGCACCCCATATCTTCATGTATGTTGGCATAATTTCTCACTTTCACTCAAGTATCTCAGAAAAGGAGTAAGTGCTCACCTTGGGCTCGAGTTATACTTTTCCCTTGATAAGTGCCTCGCCAGTCTTTCTCACCCCCATCTTTTTGTATCACAGTGTTAAGCCTTAGTACAAAATGATAGAATCCTTCTCTTTCACTAATTTTATACATCACATTAATAGCCAGAAGGACATAGTAAAAGCGAAAGTGCTCCTTCCCCCCGGATAATATATCTTTCCTAGTGACACCTGAGCAGAAACCGGACATTTTCTTTCACTCTCTGAATAGCAACATCAGAGAGTATTATGGCTTGTACTGTAAATTCAGATAAATTAGTGTGCAGTTCTAGGATTCAATCTCTGTGGTTTTCATAATCGCTGATGCAGTAAACCAATGCAGAGAGTCAACATATTCTCTGTAATGTTTTATATTTGATGTGTATCAACCACAAGCAGGCTGTGAGCTCCCTGTATTCACACTACGCTTCTGTGAAATAAAAAAGGAGTCGGCAGCAATTTGTGAAATGAAAGAAAAATTTGTACAGAAGAATACTATAAGAGTGCTTTTATTTATGATAATTAATACCATTTTTAAAGAACAGACTTTGAAGAGAAATACTGAATTTTGATGTGGCTCCTTTTCTTAGAATTGGGAAAAAATTCCAACATGTTTCATACCTATCAGTTGAAATTCCAAATGCATCTACAAAGCTTATTGCGTTATGCATGAAATGCAGTCAGCAATTAAGTATGTGAACAAAAAGCAACGTTTTGACTTGGAAAGTTAATCACATGATGAAAGTCTGTCTCTACATATTGCAGAGTCTGAACCTGGAGGCACTACGCGAACGTACACACAACTCCCTTGAAAACAACAGGTGGTGTGTACGCCTGGCAAATCCCATTTCAGGCTCAAAAGTATTCTCTCCCATTTGAAGCAGAAATAAGCATATGATATGCTCAAAACAAACTCAGAAAATTGGCCTATTAGTTCCCAGAACTGTTTTCCTCCTATCACTCTCACTCACTGTCAAATGGGGAAAAAACCCCACAGAAACTTGTAAGAAAATTACTCTTTTAAAGGAAGAACAAAAAATTCAAAGAAAATATTTTATGAAAAATGTTCTTATGAACTATCTTAAAGTAGTGCCAAAGGAATACTTAAATGGGGAAAAGTATCTGCCTGAAAAAATTCCTTTGCTATTTGGAAGATACTTGAATTCTAGTTTCTTTCAGAAATCTGTATGCAGATGAGAGGTAGCATAGATACAACAGATGTGGCTTTTGCTTCATGAAATATTTTGTGTCAAACAATTTTGGGGATCTGATTTAGTAAAAGCCATCAGGAATTTATACTTTTTATACAGTTCCTGGGAATGTTTTTTTTCATTACAGAAAAAGGTTCCACAACGGACTAAATGGCAAACTCTACTTTGCCTATAAAATTCTACTTTTTGTCTCTTCTATTTTGCCTATAAGAGTAAAGCTCTATGGAATGAAAAAACCCCCTTTTATTTCAAAACGTTTCCTAAAGTAAAACTGAAATTTGCTGAAATCAGGCTCTGAGCAACCTGATCTAGTTGAAGATGTCCCTGCCCACGGCAGGGGGGTTGGACTAGATGACCTTTAGAGGTCCCTTCCAACCCAAACTATTCTGTGATTCTATGACTCTAGGACTCTGTGATTCTATTTTTTCAATGGAAATCACCCTAAAGCAGGAAACATTCAAGAGTGTAATTAAACTCTTAAAGTGATGGTTACCAGATTTTTCCCTTTAAAACAGTGCATTAAGGAAAACAAAATAAAAAGTGAAACGGTATTGCCTAATCCAGACTGAGAAAGTACCCTGTCAGTATATTTTGTACTGAAGTACGTATGCTCAGATCTTTACTGCTGAAAGAGGTACGATACCTTTAATCAAACTGGATGTGAGGTGTTAAGCATAACAACAGGGGCAAGCATAACACTGGAAAGATTGCAAACTTGGAAGAAATCACACAACTCCACATGAGTATTTCAGACTAAGGTATGTACTATAACTGACAACATTCATTTGCACTATATATATACACACACACATATATATACACACACTTTTACATATATGTAGCCTTCCCTCTCCCTGGCCCTGTATTTTATAGTTGCTCTCTAGCTCTACCTACCCTAGAAAGGCAGGGCACCATTGCTGTCCTTTAGCCATCTAGAGAATTACTATTTGGCCAACCAATTTTGGCACTTTAGACAGCTGATTTCCTTTCCCCAACACAAAACAGCAGCATATCTACCCATTCGGAGTCGATGCATTTTTATACCATTGCTACGTTCCTCTATTGACCACAACTACAGTCATCATGATTGTGAGCATATGTTCTCTCTTTAAAATCCAAACAAAACTAGTGCTTTTTGCTTCAGCTTCTGTGCAAACACCCAACCCTAAAATTATCAGTCAAAGGTTTAGTTCTTTCAATAAATAACAGGAAATACCTGAATATGGTTGGGAAACCTCTGACCATCATCATCTTGGGAAGATGATAGGCACTACTTGTTTTCAAGTTTACACATTTAAAAGGTAAAGCGTATATGTTTCATAAGCATGATAACAACTTAGTACACTCTCTTAAGTGTAGATGCACGTCTTGGATATGCAATTTCCCTGGGAATGGTATGTACTGCTGTTGAAACTAGAACTTGTTTCTCAAATGCCGCTCTATAATTTGTATCACTAAACTCAAATGGCCATTAAAAAAAAAAAAAGAAAAAAGAAAAAAAGAGAGAGTGAGGGACAATGAGACAGAAGTGATTGTCAAATCCAATTTGCCTTCACACTCAAAATGCACTTGTATTTTGATAAGGGGTTATGTCCATACTGCAACTTAACATATTTACGATTTAGCAGATATAACCAAAACATTATAAAAACAGACCATAGAGTGGGCCAGCAACTAAGGTGTTTTAAAATAACTTTTTTTCCTGAATAGAATTTTTCTAAGTCCCACTTTTGGCTGTACAACCGATTTGAAGAGAAATCCAGTTCTTGCTTCCTGTGTGGCTTTGTTTCTTAGTTCACATAGTAAAGCCAATAGACGATATTGAAGAAGGAAAAAACAACAGGGAAGAATATGCGCGACCATCGATCTATGGCATTTACATCAGTCAAGTCAGGAATGGTAATTTTCAGTTGAGATGCACGTCTCCGTAGCCTACTTTTCTTCTGTGCCACATGTCGCTCCAGGGCGTTGCGACCAAAGCTGTGTCTGGGTAAGCCAGCTTTCCGGTACTGGATGCTTGAAGTGTCATAGGCCAGCATAGTGCTTCTAGGGTCCCCAAGCCCCATCACAGCCTCGGAGGCAGCCATCTCATTTTTAATTTCAAGTGTGCTCAACAAAATATTTTCATGTGGATCCATCTGTAAAAAATAAGAGAGCAGATTTAACAGGAGAGAAAGGAAGCCCAATCAGTTGCAAACTGAAGCCATGCTGACAAGGGCTAGATCTAACATTACTAATTCACTGGATGTCAGCCTGTCTAAAAGACTTTAAGCATAGCTGTAACTATATTTATTGTCATTTATTTGTGAACTCAAGGAGCAATAAGGCCAGTATAGTATTATGGAGTAAATGGTATTTCCCTAGACACCACATTCAGTGAGCAAAAGCAATACCGGGAAACGGAGTACATGCTCAGCTCCTGAAACTGGGATTCTGCCACTGGGTAGGATATCTGGGGGGGAACGTTGAACTTTTCGGGGTTTTTGGAGGGAAATCAAATGGAAAAGGGTCTGCTTTGTTTTGGTTTTGCTTCTTTCAAATGAAAGCTTCTGCTCTGACAAAAGCTTCAGGTATTCACAAGGTCTCTCTGCCTCTATAAAATGAGGCCCAGAGCACTGCACAAGAGAATGCAAATTTTCAGTCCCTATATTCCAAACAGGACTGGGTTACTTGGGGAAAGGCACCGACATAGTCTAACTATACCTATGTGGAAACTCCATTCCCCAGTGCTAATGAATTTCATAAATACAGGGCACGCTGTGGAGACCTGAACGCTGGAATAGCAGAGATCTGCAATTTAGAACAAGGAAAAACATATACAGAGTGTAATCACATCAAATGTACATTGAACAGTTGTTTCAATGGGTAGTTTTAGCTACTCTATATTTTTCTAAAGGCAGTTCAGTGAAAAAAATATTAATGCAATGCTGTAAAAAACCCCCCTTAGACAATTAGAAGGATTTCAAAGATGAGGAACTAAACTCTACTCTTAGGCAATCTGCAGTAGATCTGAAGTATGGTAGGAGAACTTCAAAATAATCCATTTATAGGAAACAAATCTAAGGTTATTTATGAAGGTCTAATTCTCCTCAGCCTTCCCTCTAAGTATGTATTTTGAATTGTGTGATGACAGAGTATAATTAAATAAAAATACTTTAAAAGCAATGATAGCTAATGAGCTGCTAATTAATTACACTGACTTAGTGATGTTAGTGCAGATATACTCCAGGCCAAATAAGGGATGAAACTGTCCCAGAGCTCCTTTAAGGATACTTCATCCACATTATTCATTTATAATGTACATAACATATACTATGATTATTACTGAAAGTGCACAAACTGTGACTTTTGTGGATTTCTAAACAATAATACAGCATTAGTCTATTCTGTAATATTTAGAAGCCAGCAGTCAGCAGCAGGTACCTTGCTGCACTACCCAATATAGCACCGTATTTGCTGTTATTTAAAAAAAAAAAAAAAATCTATGTAATATTTCACATGGCTCAGTGAAAGAACTGGGTGGAAAACAGTTGCTTTTTAGTAGCATCCACTGCAAAGTATTATGAACTGGGAAGTTGGATACTCACAAAAGTACTTTGGACCTACTGAAACACTGCCATTTGAGTGATTACATCTGTTCAAGTGATGCATAAAAATTGGCATCGCTGAGACGCCAGATTTCCCTCTCTCTCTCTTTTTTTATTCCAATCTATGTGAGTTTGCACCCCTCTAGTTTCATTATATTTTAGTTTTAGATTAAATGCGATGACTCAATGTGAAGCAGCCAAAATAACCTATTTTTGCTTGCTTTCCATTAAAGCCATATGAAATCTTTGAATTTTCTGGTGTGTTAGGGAAATCAATCTTTTTTGAGAAGCACTGGAAAAATGGGAAAGTTGAGCTGGAACTCAAAAAAAATTCCTTTAAGAGCTCTGTAGCACGATATTGAGCATGGTGAGGAAACACCGTGTTCTAGCCAGGAAGGCCATCAAATCAGTTCTCATCTGCATCAGACAAAACTAAGACAAAAAGAATATTCTGCTATTGTAATACAAACAGAAGCAAACATATGCAAAAGCTTTCAAATAGATCTGCGAAACTTCTCAAGGGAGCTTTCAAACATTTTCTTATAATGAGTGGAGTTATTTAGAAAATTCTTTCATGATTTTTGGGGTAAGACAAAATTGGCTGTCATTTTTTTTATAAGATCTCAGACAAATAATAAGACTTTCAGTATCCTGAAAATAAAAGCAATTATAGACACTTGGTATTCATTGATCCCAAGAATGTCTAAAAACAAGTAGGCAAGTGTCTTACAAGAGGGGTGCAAAGCCATTTGGAAACTGCATTTTCCATAGTTTCACATAGCCTTAAGAAAAGAACAGAAATTTTAGTTCCAATGACATCAGGGGAAGTTTGACGTAATATCCACTAATGCAATGGTTTTACCCCTTAGGCCAGAGCCTGGGTTATTTTCACCTCAACGTTGTGCATTCTAAGAGACTATCTTTGGAAAGATTTTAGTGCCAACAAATTTGTTCACATCTTAAATCTACTTTAAGCATTTTATCCTTTTGATCTGCAATGCTATTAGAAATTTGAGTGCTCTTTACACACTCATATACTTTCTGTGCAACACAAATGCAAGAAAAGTTATTTTAGTCTACTAGAGTTAGATATAGACATGTTTTAGTGACATGATATCACTCCGGTTAACTTTTTGCTTCGGTTCTTTTGTCACTTCTGTTCTCATTTCAGTAAATTTCTTAACACAGCAAACTGCTGCAGATATCTGGTAATCTTGGCAGTAGTTAGTAAGATTAGTGATGCTGGGCAGAAAAAACATTTAGCAATATTCTAAACTATCTTCTAGGGCAAAGTGTCTTCTGCACATATCACTTTGATATCAGACTTGGAGCACAGCATTTTCCAATAGTCCAGGAATTTTTCAGAATAAATAAAGCAAAATACAGTAAAAATTAGTGATGGGCGAACCTTCAAGTGTTAGATAGCCAGGTAAGCACCACAAAGTTCAGGTGCTTCTCAAACACTAATTTGACCCTCCTACACCCGGAACAGTGGATTGACCGTAACAAGAACTGTATTTTTCACGGTATTTTGAATTCCCAATCTGAAGAACTCCCAAAGTTCCAATTCAGAAATACAAATGAATGTGAATATAAAAGAAACACCAAACAAAACCCAAAACAAACAAAACCCAAAAAACCCAACAACAAAAAAAAAAACAGAAAGAAATTAACCTAACATTTCAACCTTTGACAAAAGGTTCCTTGTCAGAATAGAGCTGGGAGTGTCTGGGAGTGTTATTTCCACTAAGCAGGTTCGCCCAACTCTAAATAAAACATGCTTTTGTAACTAAGTGAAGCCTGAGACTGAATGATAATGGATTACATTTATTGTACACAGCACCGCCCATTCAAAAGGATCCCAAAGCGCTTTACAAGCTTTAGAAAGAAGAACCACTTCACTTCCCAGTGAAGCGCAATCACCTCTGAGGCGAAATGTGGTGACTGACAGTGCAGAACAATACACTATATTTCAGTCGAGGAAATGGAGAATGCTGTAGCCAATTGAAACTATGGGGTGGGTGAGTGGTGGGGGGGAATGTTAGGTAAGCAGAACAGTTACATAAATTGATATTTGGCCAGATGCTTGGGGTTGAGATGACCACGCTATAAAAAAGTGCCATGGGATCTTTAATGACCATAAGTGGTCAGGACCTGAATTTTAAGTCTCTGAGGATAAAAACATTAGAAAACAATGAAAGATACCTTTGTTGAATACATTTCTGGACAATGATATGTGCCAATTATTCTTCTGTCCTGTAAGTTAATAAAATCAAGACCAGTTTCCTTAGAGATAAGGCAGCTATTATCTTTCATTTAAAATTAAAGCACTCTAGGGTAATAATAGGACAACTAATTAAAAGATATAGGGACCTCTAAGCCAACAATTAGCCTAAGTATATTCTGGCTTCAGAGGTGCTATTACTGCCTTGCCCTGCTCCTCAAGGTAACATAACTTTGTGATGTAAATGTATTTTTTCCAACTGGTCGCTTGACCAAGGAAGATATGATGATATGAAAACAATTGTTAAAATTATTCTGGGGGAAAAGTAAGTGTAAAAGTGGTTTCAAAAGGAGGTGGAAGAAGGTTAAAAAGATCTCTTGGTGCTGAAGGATTGTTCAACCATAGAACTAGACTCTTTATGGTGAACAGGAGAGTTCAAACTTAATGGAGAAATTTCCAGGGACAAGGAAGGAAGGGAGGATGTGAAGATGAAGAAAAAGCAGCAGTAAGTACCATGGAAATAAAAGGTGAAAGCAGAAGTGGAGGAGAAATGACCAGAGCTCAGCAACCATGCAAGAGGGTGGGGTTTTTATAAATCAATCTTAAAGGTGGATGACAAAATACATGATGCAAATGGTATTCACTTATAGGTCCAGGTCAACTGGAAGAAAAGCTGACTCTGGGGCCTTGAAAGAGGCCATGACTTTTTTGATGGCCTCAAACAAAGGGAATACAAAGGAAAGTGTAGAAATGTTACCATTATATATTCTTCCTGCTACCTAGAAACTCCAAAATGATGGCTTTCTTGAGGAATTCCTCTTACACTAATACATTAGCAACTGTAAAATACAAGGAAATTACAACTCCCACACACATACATACACACGTATGTACATCAGGAATCCTCCAAGGATGACCAGATCTTTGAAACTGCTAACGTCTAGTAAACCAGCATCTCGGTGATTATGCTCTACTGTTATGCCAAACACAGCTTTATAAGTAGGAGGTAAATTTATATCGATGCATTGAAAAGATATAATATTGACACATTTACATCCTCATATACTGTTCATTTTCACCTATAACCTTCAATTACAGGCAGGTACTGATGGCTCATTTTATGACAGAATGGTTCAGAAGCCATGGATAAAATAGGCAGTAGGGCTGGAATCTCTGATGGAAAATCCTTGTGAAACAAAACAGTTGTAAATTCAAAAGAAATATCCTTTTGTTAAGTAGGGCTGCCACTAGCCAAAAGCAAAATATGGTGAGCTAAACCAAGAAGGGAGAACAGAAGTACCCAGTCTATTACAAAGATTAACACCTGAGATTAGGTCTCAGCATTTATAGGTCCTGTGAACTGACATTCTTAAGAACTGAAGACAGAAATAAAGATCCCTTTCACAATGAAGATCAACATGACATGCCTAGACATATAATTTAATTTGTTAGAGATAAAGATCTTAGTACTATCTATAGCATAGTTTCCCACGTCTTACAGCTGAGCTTTGCTTGGAAAACCAGTAACATCCTATTCCTGACTAGTCACAGTAACTCTGGCAAGATTAGATGAAAGTACGAAGTGCACTTTATGTATAATAAGGAACTTCCACCTCATCAGCAAGGTTTGACTTATTGATTAAGAACCACTGATCTCTAGACAGTCCTGTATAAGCTGCTGCTAGGTTCACTCTGGAAGAAAAAAGAATTAATGATTTTCAAATGGCACCTGCTTAAAGCTATACAGACATTTTTGACATGATAAGCAAGTCTGCTGAGATAAAGCTATATGAACTTATAAAGCACAAATGCCTAATATTTCAAAACATCCCTATGTGAAACAATGTCCTTAAGAATGTAACAAACACTGCATTTCCATTGTCTGTACAAAATGGAATTTATTGCCAGCGTTACAGCAACTGTTTAGGAAACCATGTTAGCATGCATTGGCTTGGATTGCATTATACACCTAAGATTTGCATCAGGCTGTAAAGCATGCGGTTAGAGGACAGTAAAATTAGGTTGACTTATGATTTCAGGTTACTTTGTTTGGTTTCAGGTCAGAAAATCCAGAGAAACTTTGCAAATTCAATCAGGGCTTTCTTTAGGTTCTTGAGCTTTTTAAAGCCTAAAAATCTAAGCAAAAAACCAAGAGACCTGTGAGAATTAAAAAAAAAGAAAGGGAGAAAAAAGGCAAGATGTGGACACAGAGCTTTAACACGGCTCTAACTACTTATTGTTCAACTTCTAGGCATCCAGTTTTACCCTCTGATATATGTGATTTCTTGATCATTATCATTGGTAACACATCAATAACTTAGCTGTAAGTATTGTAGGATTCTGAAGAAATGGTTGAAAACACGATTTCTTTTGGCATCCATTACTTACACACAAGATTCCATACTTAAGACATTGCAGAATAAGTGCCCACATAAAATGAAAGAGTCTAAAGTATCTTTGGCTTGATGATATTTCAATAAAAATAATGAAATATGAACTTGTTCAAACTGCTGCACAAAATCCAATGTTCTAAACCAAAAGCCAACAAGTGAAATATGCAAAATCAGGACTGCTGTTTGAAGTATGGCACAGAATAGGAAAAAATGGGGAAATGGCCTGCTGGTGTCCTGTCCTCAGCTTGAACCTTACACCAACATCTTCTAAAATATCACAAACACATCTCTGGGGTTTTTAGAGTAAAGGGGGATAAATCTCCTTAGCCAACCAAGAAAGAAAAATAGAGAGTACACTGTGATTCTGTAGAAAAACATCTTCCTCCATTTCACTTCTGGCCAAGATAATTCAGTCCAATGCAATCTCTAGTAAAGTGGAAGGAATAAATTATATAAGTAAGGCCATGATGATGTTTGTGTAATTTCCATTCTAGTGCAGCAAATATAGTTGACCATAAACAGTAAATAGATTATCTGATTTGGGAAATGAGCTTGTAACTTTACTTAAGCAGATACATCCATTTAATGGGACTTAAATAAAAATTAAGGTTAGTCATGTTTTCAAGTGATTTCCTGTGAATGAGACTTTTGCTCTCTATCCAAAACCATGAATAATGCATATACACATAAGGAGGAAACAATTTTCTTTTTTTTTATCCTGCAAGAACATATCACAATGGTGGAGCTAAATATTAGTTAAGGGGAATTCTCATTGGGAAGTCTTCAAATATGAATAAGCTTCATATTCATGACATTTAAAGGTAGTTGCCCTCCCTCCTAGAAATTTCAGGTACAGATTTCTTTTTCCCTCCAGGAGATTGCAAAATCTTCGTTCAGATCAAAACAATTCTTTGTAAGTGATTCTATCTTAAAAATTAAATCCTTCCATGAAACAAGAAACCTCTTCTCTGTTAAAGATAAGCGTAAAAAACTTCTCCAGGAGAAAAGTTGAAAATCTATCTGAACTTCCTGAAAGCATTTATTTTTACAAGGCAAATTTTATAAAGAATAAAAGGGCGGGGGGAATCAATCTTTGACTGAAAATAAACATAAAGGAAGCAATGAAAGTAGAACTGGAATTTTTGAAATTTCAGTTACAATTTTCAGTGTCAATTTTTTACTACTGAGACATTTAGGAGGATGCAAAGGCAGGTGATTTAGAATAGAAGTCTTCTGGGGTACCAATTAACAACAGCTCTAAATCTTACCGTTTTGCCAAGAAACAAGGTGTTAGGCAGCCAGGTGCTTACTGATACTGCTCTGATGAAGTATTTGTTATTTGTTTGTTAAAATATCATCACATTTACATGTATACATTTAATACTTTTGGAAATAATATAAATGAATAACACATCAGCAAGAACCTCTTGCTCTGTGATAAATAACACCAAAATTTCATCAAACTTCCTTTATGCCCGTAAGCTGTCTCCTATTGTGTTGTCTTACAAAATATACTTTAACAGATATACCTAGCACCAAAAGTCTACTACAGAAACATGGCAAAATTACTTATATAAGAAAGCTTCATGAAAGATGAAAAATGCATGGAACATTTGATTGTAATCGCAACTGGAAAAAATTTCTAAGGTATAATTTGGATATAGTTATGGTTTTGATATATGAACTAGACAGTAAAACTAAGGCTGATAAAGTTGCTCCTCTAGAACAGACTTCTGTAAAATACATAGATGTTATTTTTCTTGTTTGAAGTCAAATACGAGCAAAGCACTATACAGCATATACTTGTCACGGGAGTGCGTGGACTGTGTAGAAGTCTACCAGTGTTTCATCCATCTGACCATGATATACTCACTTGTTAACAGATTTAATCTCGTGATTTTGGGGAAGACCAACAACGTAATTCTTGGGCCCAGCCCAAAGATTAACATGGCCAGAGGCAGCACGAGCTTCAAGGAAAAACTTGTGAGTGGTGACAAAGGCCAAATAAAACACTGGAGAGAAATTGCAATTAATTCAACAAAAAAATAAAAAAAAATTATTGAGATTTTTCTATGGACAATCACTGACAAGTTTTCATTATACAAAAACTAAAGACGAATTTCCAACTTTTGACAACAAATTTCTGAATTAAGAAAAAGTCTAGAAATGTACTTCTTATGATCATGTTCAGTGCTGATTTAGAAGCCTGAAATACTGCCAGTTCCACAGAGAAAGATACTGCAAGGCTCAGAGGACTGGTCCTGACAATATTAAAATGAAAAGTGTTCTGCTTTAAAATAATAATAAAAAAATCTGAATTTGTTGACTGAATTAGAACATTCCTGCATGATTTACTTGTACACTGATAGTCTGTGTTTTGGGGAGAGTCTAGCATTTTGTCACTCATTTAAAAATGAGTGACAAGAATGAAGAAACTTTGTTGCCAAGACGTGGTTAGTCATTTCAGATTTGTTTCTAAATAAATTTCTGTGTATGCATAATATACACCAATATTATGTATCATTGCAAATTCTGTATTATACTTAAATTGTTTTTTTATATGCATTAATTCCAGAGAAAATAAAAACTGAATTATAGTTTTCTTCCTGACATTTTGGTGGCCTTTTGTGCTTGTAAAT